ACTATTACAAGACGCTCGGTGAGGTGAGCAAGCAGCGTATCATCGATACCAAACCCTCACGCAGTAGTAGTAGTAGTAGTAGTAGTAGTAGTAGTAGTAGTAGTAGCAGTAGCAGTACCAGCACCTGAACCGGTACGACTATAACTACCACTACCACCATCACTATCACTGTCACCGTCACTGTCACTGTCACTATCACTATCACGATCACCATCACCATCACCATCACCATCACCATCACCATCACCATCACCATCACTATCACTATCACGACGACGACTACTACTCACTACTGCCACTTCTTCCTCTAGATCGCCCACTACCACTGCTGCTCCTACTACGGCAGCGGCAACGACCACAACCATTACCACTACTACCACTGCAACCGCCACAACTACCATAAATAGGTCTTCTACCACTACCACTACCACAACAAGTAGCACCACCACCACCACCAGCCCTCCACCAGCACTAGAACAGTGTTAGTCCCGTTCGGTACTAAACTGATACCCGTTCCATCCTCCAGTATCAGTATCAGCACTAGATTGTGCTGTTTCCAATTCCGTACAGCCTGCTCACTGGTCCGGATAAGGATACTGGTGCTGGCTACTGGTAGTATCGTCATCAAGTGAGGAGCATTTTCCTGGCGGCGACAATGTTGTCGTCATTACTCTAGCCAGTTCAGTACTCTGCGCCGAGGTCACAGGGGCATAACCGTGCAAGAGCTCTGGGACTTCTATGACCCCGAATCCAGCTGGCTGGAAGCGCAGAGGCCATGGCCCGGTCGTACAAAAGAAAGCTTCAGTTTCGAGAGGCGGTACGACAGTTGGCTCCGGAGTCTTGGACTTCGGGCTGAGAGTCCACTGCCTCCAAGAGTGTCTGCAGCTCAGCCTTAACTGCGAGGTGGAGATGCGGGATCTGCCACAAGCTTCATAGTCGCACTTAAGATCGAATGGTGGCGGCATGCAATACCTCATGCGAGATGGACCTCTGGGTTCGTGCAGGTCCTGTTGCTGTGAGGAATGTCTGGAACCTGAGCCGGGGCCCTTGATCACGCAAAAGGCCCGAGTTGAATCCGTTCCGCTCCGGCCGAGGCCGACACAGGAAGCCGGAACGCGGACGCAGGAAGAAGGAGAAGACGAGGGCACATCCGAGGACAACTTTGCCGGAGAGGTAGTGGGGCAGATCGGCGCGCCGCATGCTCAGTGCACCGCGTGCCCAGCGAAGGCGCTGACTCGTCTGTTACCTAATCTGATCTTGCCGAGGGTGTTCGCGGACATCGAGAGGAAAGTGGCTGAAGAGAAGAGAGCTTGGCGCATATGCTTCAACCGATTCAAGCCAGAGACCCACGGCCGCTGCAGCCACTGTGGCGCCGAAGGTGGACCAGGCACAGGGTTGGCCAGATGAACAAAAGGCAGCTTCATTTCATTGTCTCTCCGATTAACGCAGGATATCCAACTGGCTGTTGCATTCCAACTACCGGCAACCACGACCCATCAGATCAGAGCCTGCGATACATAATCTTGTGCCTGTCAGTCAGAGTGTCGGAGCATGCAGACTCGGGTTAGCAAAACAAATGTAAGCCCTTACGGTAGCCTTGGTAACTTCTTCACGTGAGTAGCCTGGTTCCTTGAGACTTCGGGAAAACAAACCCCGAAAAGCGGTGGGGCGCTTCGGAAATCTTGAATGATTCAGACATGTGATGCGGAAAGCTTGGAGGATGTTCATGCTTTAGGGTTTGGGGCTTTGGATCTCGGAGTTTAGGGTTTGGGGCGATTCTGAGGTTGTTTCTCCTGTTTTCCGAACTGTTTTTTTCTTGACTTCTCGTGTGCTGAAGTTGGTCCGCCCCGTTCTCGAATTTGTTTTCCGAATTTGTCCGTAGCCGTAGCCCCAAGTACAGCAAGTGTGCATCCCACATTCTTCCGGAGTGAAGGACGGTGGGAGGAGCGGAACCTCTATGAGGTTGTTGAACACATGTGGCCCGCCAGAATGTGATTGCTCTTGGGCGTTTCCCAGTAAGCTGGCTCGTGCTGGCCCACTCCCGAGGGTGAAGCCCATCTGTGCGCAGCTGCGGGTGAGCTATGTAGAGCTTCTGCGGCGCGGACCCGAAGGCATCTCGGTAGACTTAGTAGTGGACGTTCGTGAGGACGTTGCTTGGGGACGAAGTGTGACATCTGTGAGGCGAGGAGATGGAGGGCGTGAAGCCTGATACCTTCGTGTCTCACTGGTGGGGCGAGGACTTCGGTTTGCCTCGAACAGCGACCTTTGCTGTCCCAGCTATCGAATGGCAGAGATTGACTTTGCTGTATACAGTACTGGAGCTGATAGAGCAGGAGTTCCCGAAGTTCGTGCGCACGCTCACATGCTTTGCGGTTGCTCGCCTTGACTTGGACATTCGCCGACACGATTGTGGACATTGCAAAGCTGAAGCTGCACTGCAACACAATGCAGCGACTACATTGGATCATTTTGAACCGTGATGTTCAACTCCACGTCGCATGCTTTGTAGAGGCTTGTCCCCTGAGCTTGTGGGCTGGGTTCAGGAGGCACGCAGTCGGCGACTTCCGTGGACAGTTTGCACCACTCCGCATCGCAATCCGAAGACTTGGGCCTTTTGGTGCCTTGGCTTCGGATGGGCAGCGCGCTCGTTATCGTCGAAGGCTCTCTGAGTCTCCGCCCTGTGGTTTTGGGTCGAGAAGGGAAATCAGGTGGGTCCCCAACTCGTAACTAGTTGCTGCAGAAACTGGAACTTTGCCATGCAGCTGCTGCGAAGAGGATCTGCGCCTTTGCCAACAATCAGTACGCCATCGAGCATGCCCTTGGTGACTTCAGGCTCTTAGGGTCTTAGGGCTTGGTAGGGCTTGGTTTCTGTCGCTTTTTCATGCAGCAGCTTGTTAATAATGCAGAGGTACTGTGCTGATGCCTTCTGTTGCTTAGCAGCTGTACCTTGAGTTCTGTGAGTCTTCAGTGGCGTGAGCTGGACCCCTGCTAGTAGCGATGTGACGCCGCGGACAGCCGTCATGACAAGCGCTTTTGCCACTGCTCTGGCTGCTCGGCGACATTCGGCAGTGTCAAGCATGGCCAGGCGGTTAGGTCACGACATGTCGAGACCGAGAATTGACAATTCTCTCAGCCATCGACCCTGAAGCAGATTGAAAGCCAACCCGTTCCTTCCTCCTCAGTCGGCTTCAGAACCCACATTGGCACATAGCCTGCTCGGGACTAGGATGCTGTCAGCGATGTCGTGGCTGTGCTGGACGACCGCGCGATTATCTACACCAGGCTGCGAGTTCGCCAACTAGAAAGTACGGGAACTGTGCAAAAGTCTGGCTTTCGGCAAAGTTATCTTGATTCTGCTGTTTCGTACGTTTTTCAGTGCGTAGTCTACGCAAGTTCGTTCGTGTTTCGGTGCTTGCTTTTCGTTGGTCCGTTGACCCAGCCGCATGCCGCTGCATGCTCTTGATCCATGCTCAACGAAGATCTGCCTTCTGCAAGGATTTGGTGCTGCTTCGAGCTATTCTCCGTGGCGCGCTTGATACCGGAACGAGACTTGGCCGAATTCTTAAAGCCCAGAGATCTCACAAAGGCCTGGGTTTGGGGAAGTTCTCTGCAGCGCAAGCTGCAAAGAATTGTTGCTGTCCTGGAGCGCCCTTCCATGCTCAAGCAGTTGCAAAGAACGTCTACGTGTTCACGCCACACAGATCGCCATGTCTTCCGCGACTCCACTGAGCCAAGCCGCACGTCGACGCATCTTGGCCGACCTCAATCGCCTCCAAGAAGAGCCCATTCCTTTGGCGGCAGCAGCACCGTGCTCGGATGCTGACCTGAGCCTGTGGAATGGCGTGATCGGGACGCAGATGGAAGTGACACACCTTGGCTGTGTCACAGTCCCACTCCACTTCTTGATCGACTTTCCCTGTGACTATCCGCTGAGTGCACCCAATATCGGCTTCTCCTTCGAATTTCAGTATCGCGGAGGTGCCTCGTATGTGCAGCGGGACGGGCGGCTCAAGGGGAAGCTCGTGATTTGCTTGGACGTCCTTGGCAACTTTGGCCACGT